TACAAGAGAAAAGAAGTCATCACTGTGGAATTCACATTCCATACACAAAACACACACAGACACATACACACACAAACACTCCTCAATCAACTTCTGTAGTGCCCTTTTTATACCTTTTCTATTTTTCAGATTATCCAAAGAAAATAATGCAAACATATCTTCACCTCTTCCATTCACTAATTTTAATCCAGCCATGAAAAGCAACCCAGCATTTGTATAGAAATCACTGTATTTAAAATTATTTAACTGAATATATTAACTTTCTGATATTATGAACCCTAACCAAGTTCTTATGTTATATGTTGTGTTCCATAAAGTGAGAATTTTTTCTTTGAGTCTCTTTCAGGCTAAAATTCAGAGACTCTAATTAGTTATTTCTTTTGGAAGGCCACAATAATATGTACTTTATTTCACTAGACAGTTAATCCTCATTTCCATTTCAGACAAGATTCCTGTGCTAAGAGAAGGAAAACTACCTGTGGTAGGAATTGGAAAGCATCTGTGTGGTATGGCAACAGGTATGTAAACATACTAATAGTGTTTACATTAATGCATTAAGTTTTGACCTAACCTGGCCCCAACCATTTCAGTGGCCTCTTCTGAATCGATATCTTATGTTTACAACTCATTAATCTTTATAGAGCACTGGCTCTGTGCTTTATTAGATGCATAGCTTTCCTATTTATCTGCTCATTTTGGCCATTTTGCAGGATGAATTAAGAGTTTTGTATGTAAATACTGCATCACATTAGACTTTAAAGTTCTTTGGGTTAAATTTCAACCAGAAAAGGAAAATAAGACCATTTATGGAAACTGTATTTTTCCACCCAGAAGCTACTGATTTTTTGTAGAATAGTTCCTTAGGAAGAACTCAGAAACCTCTCCCATTAAAAGACTATTGTGTTTCAGGATTCTGGGGAAAAAGAAAAAAATAAATATTAGACAAAAAAAAAAATCTAAGATGTCTTGTCTTAGCACTTTGATCCATCAGATCTAGCATGGTAAAGTGGAAACAGCATGTGCTTTAGAATCAGATAGTCTAGCCTTCAGCTCTGTTGTGTAACCTTGTCAAATTAACCTTTCTGAGCTTTGGTTACCTCATCTATAAAACAGAGATACTAATATATTAATAATTTACCGGGTTGCATGTAAAGTGTCTGGCACATAATAGTGCTCCATAAATGTTAATTATTGTTACATCATCTTCCTAACTTTTGCTAGTTTCATCATCTACCCATATGGGTAACTTGGAGTGTCCATAGATAATACTCATATTGGCTGGAAGTGGCATTGAGTACTATATATTTGTGTTGGCCTTCATAGTTTTTAAGACTACAGTAATGTACAACATAACGATGATTTGGTCAGCAGTGGACTCATATATGACAGTGGTCCTATAAAATTATAGCATATTTTTACCTTACCTTTTCTATATTTAGATACACAAATACTTACCATTGTGTTACAATCGCCTACGGTATTCAGTAACATGCTGTACAGGTTTGTAGCCTAGGAGCAATAGGCTGTGCCATACATCCTAGGTCTGTGTAGTACACTCTGATGTTCCCACAATGATGAAATCGCCTAACGCATTTCTCAAAACATATACCAATGGTTAAGCAGTGCATGACTGTACTTTCACATACCTTATCTCATTTAAGCCTTATAAAAGTCTTGTAAAGTAAACCAGTTCCATCCTGGGGGTAGGAGGGAGTACACTCTTTTGACCTACAGTGGCCATTTCTCATGTTCCACGTAATTTTTTTACCCTTGATTCACTGTATCTGAATCCTCCTTTCATCTCTGCCGCAGTTGCTGCCCTTCTTGAAATTCCATTTTCTTCTCTTTTGCGATACTCTTATTTCCTGGTTCTTCCCCTACATCTATGCCATTCTTTCTGTTTATTTCACAGTCTCCTTCCACTTCTGTCCTTTAAATATTTAATATTCAGGCTAGGCACAGTGACTTATGCCTGGAAACCCAACACTGGAGTCTGAAGTGAGATGATTGAGGCTAGGAGTTCAAGATTAGCTTGGGCAACATAGCAAGACCCCATCTCTACAGAAAATTTAGAAATTTGCTGGGCATGATAGCTTGTGCATGTAGTCCCAGCTATTCAGGAGGCTGAGGTGGGAGAATCACTTGAGCCTAGGAGTCTGAGTCTGCAGTGAACTGGGATAGCGCCACTGCACTGCAGCCTGGGTGACAGAGCAAGATCCTATCTCAATTGGTCAATCAATCTCAGACCCATCTGCTACACAACTAATGTGTCTTTCTCTTTAAACTCTTCAGTACTTACTGATATAGTCCGAACTCTTTGACATAACGTTTTTGTCTCAATTTGGCTTCAGCCTTCCTCTCTTTTTTGCATTCCCTGTCTCCTACTTTGCTGTTCAGCAACATCAAACCCTGGGTGCTCTTCCATATACTGTACTATTTCTACTATATCTGGAATTTCACCCCCATTCACCCATTCACCCAAACAAAACAACTGGTCAGTTTTTACTCATCCTTCACCTCCGTTGTCACCACTTTCAGGGAGCTCCCTTAAATAAGATATGCCTCCTTGGTGTTATCATAATACCCTCTGCATAATTTTACCTTGTTGTATTTTAATTATCTGTTTATATATCTAATTCTTCCACCATGCTCTGAATTTTTTGAGTATATGGCATACTAGTACAATGCTTTCTATATAACAGGAACACAGTGAATATTGGAATGAATGAATAATCTTGGCTACCAATTTGCTGTGTTTCCTTGTCCCTTTCTGTGTATGTGGCTTTGTCCTTTAAGTTCTCTATGACAGATGAATTGAGATAAATTGCTAAAGCTCCTTCTAATTCTGAAATAACTTAATTCTTTTTTTTTTCTCTTTGAGATGGAGTCTCGCTCTGTCACCCAGGCTGGAGTGCAGTGGCGCAATCTCGCCTCACTGCAACCTCCACCTCCCAGGTTCAAGCGATTCTCCTGCCTCAGCCTCCCGAACTGCTGGCACTACAGGCTTGTGCCACCACGCCTGGCTAATTTTTGTATTTTTAGCAAAGACGGGATTTCACCATGTTAGCCAGGAAGGTCTCCATCTCCTGACCTCGTGATCTGCCCGCCTTGGCCTCCCAAAGTGCTGGAATTACAGGCGTGAGTCACTGCGGCTGGCTTGAAATAACTTAATTCTTTTAATAATTTATCTGGTTATTCACATTTCTGAAAATCACTTACTTAAGTCAGATATGAATAAAACAATGACTAAATGTATTTTGTCAGAAAATAATAGTTTATGAAATAATAGGTTAGCTATCACTTTCTCCAAAGAATGGGTTTCTAATGTTTGACTTAAATTCATATATTGAATTCAATTTACTAGTGAAATATCAGATCATTTAATAGTCACTTGTTTTATCTTAGGGTAATACATATTTTTAAAATATGTATATGTTTTTGATTGAACAGACACAACATGACAATCTAATGATTAAGACAGAAGATGTGGGTCCTACATTTGGGGTCTTTCCAATATTGTCAACAATGTAGGAGTTTTTGATGGGAAATAGCCATAGTCATCAAAAATCCATTTATTTAGTTTTAAAATATACTAAAATGTTTTCATTGTAATGTGGAGTACATCTCCCTCTTAAGTTTGTGTATATTAATCATTGCATCCTCAATGCTTCGCACATGAAAGGCATTCAGTAAATGTTTGTTAAATAAATGAATAAATACAGTTAGGCTACTCAGTGAGGCCTACTTTCCAGATTCTGTTCTGACTCCTCTTTCAACTCTTCAGTTCATCACTATTTGCTATGAGCCTTTTCAAGACAAGCATCTTGACTTAGCATCAACCTAAACAGATTTGTCTGCCCTTCCTTCCTCCTCCCTCCCTCCCTCTTCCTTTCTTCCCTCCCTCGCTCCCTCCCTTCCTTCCTTCCTTCTTTTTTTCCTTTCTTAAACTAGAATGTAAATGTAAGTGAATAAAGTTTTCCTGTACATGTCATTTCCTCAGCTAAGGTAGGAAAAGTGAGAGACAATTCAGGTAGCTGGGTAAAAGTTCTTCAGATTGTAGATCTTAAGCTTCAGATAGCTTTATTGGAAATTAGGCTTTACGCAGAATAAATCATTAAAGAAACTGAGAAGATAGTAAGAAGAGCAAATTTGAATGAAACTGATAATTCACCATATAATTATTACAAATATAAATCTGAGTAGGTTTTTGCTGTTTCTATTGTTGGGTTTTTAAAAACAGTACTGCTTAATAAATGTAAAAAATATTTATTTTTAAAGATGATGTGGTTTCGGGGGGCCACATAATTGTGTTTGCAGATCTTGCATTACGATGTTTGATTGAAACCTATGCTGCCAGTTTTGAGGAAAGGAATGAAGAACCTTTAGCCAAACGCATAAAGAATGATAAAACAGAAAAAGAAATTTACACTTTGGCCAAGGAAGGAAATGAAAAAAATGTCCCAGAGAAGTGGAACCCTGTGGCTGGCATTGTTATTGCACTCTGTTGTCACCACAGGTGTGATTGGAGACATTATGTGGGCAAAGAATATTTCAGGGCTCTAGGCCTTGGAGCAGTGGAATTCCACTATTTCCAGCGAATGAGTAGTTGGGCAACTTGTGGGATGCGGAAAACATCTTTGGAAACCTCAAATAGTACCACAAAGAGACAAGATAATCAGAATGATGATAGTGAAGAGCATGATGATGGAGGATACAGAATCACAGATGATGGCGCTGATAGTTTGCCTGGGTAAGAGACTACTTTTGTAATGTATGACACTAAAGGAGAAATATTGTATTATACTGTACTTTAGATGACTATTATCAACAATTCATGAAAATGTATAATCTAATTTTAGAATAAGCTAAAATATACACATCTCTTATTGTGGTCATAAATATAATGTGTCTTGGAAGCATGGGATAAAGTACTTAGTACATTACGGGTTAGTTAACATTCTCTCAATAAATGGAAGTGACAAAAATAATTTTTTATAAACTTTTACAAAATTTTAACAATGTTTTGTGTGTGTTTATTCAATTTAGGCTTCTTAGTGTTGAAGAAAAGAAGAAAATAGGGCATCTTTGTAAATTGCTGATTGACCAAGGTCGAATCCAGTATTTGCAGCAGAAGGGATTCAGTCCTGCTTTGCAGTACTATACAGACCCTCTGGTGTCTTTGGAAAATGTTTTGTTAACTGCTTTACCAAATCATTCTTCATCACCAGAAACAACTGCTTAATGGAAAAGAAATTTGAGCATCATCTGTCTTCCACCAAAAAAATTTTTTAATTATATTTTTATATTAAAAAATATATACTTTAAATAGCAAATAATATGAACTTTAAAAAATGCTGTGGCCTCATTAAACTTTGGTAATAGCTTTTCTTTTTACTTCAGAAATCCAAACATTAGAGAATTCACCAAAGTAATCCTCTTTCGAAGGGCATCTTGAATTATATTATCCATCCGTATTTATGGAGATTGGTAAAGTAGTTGAACCGTTGACTTGGTGATCTGAAACATATATGTCAACACATAATTAGCATATTTCTGTTTGTATTAATTTTGGAAATTTATCTTCCTTTGATTTTATTTAATATTTTTTATTTCTCAAGTTCAAGAGGTAGTGATTGATTGTAACAAGGGCCAATCTGAGAATTTGACTTATATGTGGACATTTTTCCCTACAGACCTGAAAAGCACAATTATGATTTTCTCAAATGCAAACAATTCAGAGATGTTCACAATTAATAAACACAATTAATGAAGTCACCTTCAAATTTCCAGAACCATACATGTATATATTGTCAGAATCTGTCCATGACAAACACAAAACTTAAGAGCTGTTTTCAAAGAAAAAAGATTATTTCACTTAATTATTTTGTTGGATAATTATCTAGTTAGAACTTCCAAAAAGATACTTACAAACATAATTCACAAATTTGAAATAACTTCTGGAGTTGATTAGCTATCTCATATCTTTTATCAGGTCATTTTTTACATATATAGGCACAAACAATATGTTCTCTTCTGTTTGGGAAAATAATTTGGAATAAAGTAGAAATTAGATAATGAAACTAAAAACCTCAAATTTAGGCCTTATTTAACACATGACTGGTTTCTATGCACAAGCAAATATTAAACCAAACATATGGTAGGACTGTTACTGTCTTCTGCATCTTATCCCTATTTTGTTTCTGCCTTTATTTGCAAAAATTATCTTAATTTATGGTACATTTGCCAAGACAAAGGTTCAGAATTACTAATTTTAGATATTATGATATTCTGAGGTAACTATTTTTATCCTGTAGTTCTATGATTACATGATTTGTAAATAAGAAGCCTAACCAATTTAAAATTCCTGACTTTAGTCTCATATATCTTGTCAGACTGCCTCGGTTCAAATTCCAACCCTACCATCTTTGAGTTGTGTGACCTTGGGCATGCCACTTAATCTCTTTGTGCCTCAATTTTCTCCTCTTAAAATGGGGATGATGATGATAACAATAATACCTACCTCACAAGGTTGTTGTGAGTATCAAATGAGATAACACAAGTAAAATGCATAGAACAGTTCCAAGCACAGAGTAATTCAATAAATATTAACTGGAAATAGTAGTGGTAGTAACTCGTGAATCTATTTTTAATAACATAATAGGCTTTGATTGTATTATCTCTTTAAGTCGTTAACTTTTTTTTCCTTGTTATAAGTTTTATGTCAAATACTATTAAAGTAAGGTAGTTTGTTTTTTAAGTTAGTTACCCATGTCCCCAATCAAGGGAACCTAAATGAAGATATTATATCATTAAATAATTAACCTTTTTTTTATTGTGTCAAGCAATACTAATTTGTGTCATAAAATTTGTTTTGCATCATTCAACAATTTATGCCCAGAAATAAACAATATTCTACAACAGGCATAATCGCATTTATGTTTCATAAAATATTCATACACATCCAAGAATTATCATACGGAAACAGTTCTGTGGCCCATTTAGCTTAATGGTATGTTTCTGACAATGGTATCAAGTACTTTAACGGAAGATAAGTTTGTCCTTCAACATGCCAGTAGGTCAGGATTATTGTTTTCCTAACTGTTACTTTGTCTTCACATATCATGAGAAAGTGACTATGTGGGATATGCACACAGCTATTTCTTGTCCTGCACAATTTTCAGATTCAACAAACCTCTTCTTGAACTTTAGATTCACCTATACAATTACCACAACTTGCATGTTCCACAAGTGCATCAAATTTACTGCTAAGGGCCAGGTGCGGTGGGTTACGCCTGTAATCTCAGCACTTTGGGAGGCCAAGGCAGGTGAATCACCTGAGGTCAGGAGTTCGAGACCAGCCTGACCAATATGGTGAAACCCTGTCTCTACTAAAAATACAAAATTAGCTGGGCGTGGTGGCGCATACCTGTAATCTCAGCTACTCAGCAGGCTGAGGCAGGAGAATTGCTTGAACCTGGGAGGCAGAGGTTGCCAAGTGAGCCGAGATTGTGCCATTGCACTCCAGCCTGGGCAGCCAGAGAGAAACTCCTCAAAAGAAAAATGACTGCCAAAATTAGAAATCATCTGCCTCTACCACCTGATTCTACTCGCCAACCCATCTTCTGTACTTCAATCTCCATCTTAGCATCACCGTCTATCCAGTCGCTCTCTAAACCAAAAACATTCATTATAAACTCCCTTTTCTCATCTTCATTCAATTACCAATTCTGTCTCCTAATCGTCTTTTATGTATTCTCTCTCTGCTTTCCAAAACTAGGTCACAATTAGGACTTTTTTGCCTGTCTCCCCAATCTGTCTCCATGTATTGCATCTATGACCTTGCTACAATAAATCTAATCACCATTTTCTAAACATCCTCCACTGAATGTTAGTAAAAATTATTTCCTCCAGCTGAAAAACTCTGTCATTGTCTTCTCGGTTATACTCATTTTTCAAACTAACTACTTGTTGCATTAAGTTGAACTAAAATCTGCCTTTTAAGTTAAAAACTCTTAACATTTTACAATTAGAAGACCATGATTTCTATTACTATTGTTTCATTGTTTTTATTAACAAATAATTGTGTACTTTGTCCTCTTCCCCTGATCTTGGTTTAGCTTAAAGCCCCTCCTTGATTAAAAAAAGTGGTGTAATTCAAAATTATGAGAGACTAAGTGATTGAAATCTCTATATCAAAACCTCACACTTCGTTGATTAAAATCTGTATTCTCAGCCAGACATGGTGGCATGCACTGATAGCCCCAGTTACTCCAGAGGCTGAGGTGGAATGATCTCTTCAGCCCAGGAGTTCAAGGCCAACAGTGAGCTATGATTGTGCCTTTGAATAGCCACTGCACTCCAGCCTGGGCAAAATGGGCAAAATAGTAAGACCTCATCTCTTTAAAAAACAAAACAAAACAAAACACTGTGTTATCTTAATATTTTTCATTCGTAGGTAATTTTTTTTTTTTTTTCTATTTGTGGAATGACAGGGAAGATCAGTTCATGGTCAAACTGCTATGTGTGGCAAGCTGGTAGAATGAGGTAGCAAAGCTTTAAGAATCACATCTTCACTCACTTGGTTTTACTTCATATGCTTAGCCAAAGGATTTATTTCCTTCCCCCACTTGAAAAACTTTGAATATCTTTACAACCCCTCTCTCCATTTCACTTTTTTTCTTCCCACAATATTGACTAAGAGAACAGAATTTGACAGAAAACTTAAGATGGAATAAGAAATATATAAAGGAATTAATCAAAAGGCAGCAGTTAGTGATATACACATTACCGAAAAAGAACATTGAATCTGTGTTATATACAAATCTTATACCTGCTCTTCTCTGTGACTCTTGTATGTATGTGTGCATAAACTGAAGGCCGAATAATTCCCGTTCCTCTTCTTCATCTGTGCCTTCAATGGGAGGAAGTGATACTTCCAATTTCAGTGGGTTGTCTCTGAAGTTGACAAACCTAGCAGTTCATCAAAAAACAGTATTTTTATAGGTGTCATGGAAGTGTACATTTATTTCCCTGGAGAAAGGTCAAATGATAATATACTAAATTACTTTTTTAACTGGTTTCAATAATTGAACACCTTGGTGAGATGTGATATATCTCAAGAATCTATGTTTTTTTTTTTTCCTAAGAGAAAAAATACTAGCTTTAGACAACTTACTTTCAAAGCTTATAAAAGCAACTAGTTAGTCTAGTTGCACAGGCTGGAGTGTAGTGGCATCATCTGGACTCATGGCACCCTCCACCTCCTGGGTTCAAGTGATTCTAGTGTCTCAGCCTCCCAAGTAGCTGGTACTAGAGGCTCACACCCACGACACCTGGACATTTTTTGTATTTTTAGTAGAGAGAGGGTTTCACCCATATTGGGCAGGCTGGTCTTGAACTCCTGGCCTCAAGTGATCTGCCTGTCTCAGCCTCCTAAAGTGCTGGGATTACAGGCGTGAGCCACCGCACCCAGCCTACAGCATATATTTCATGCAATACAGCTTAACTTCTAAGAACAATGTTAACATATCTTAAATATAAAATTAGTGCTATGAACTTAGTTTTTTATATACCTTCATCTTACTTATCATTGTGTCTTCACCACCTAGTACAAGGCAGGTAGTTGCTCAACAAGTGAATAAATGAATTATTTGGTTATGGAAGTTTTGGGTTTTAGTGGGTATTCTCTTATTCTCAATTGTCAGAAGATTAAGCTTTGGAAGAAAAATGCTTGAGGGAGCTTTCAAGATGAGTTAAAACTTAAATGTCACATCTGAAACAGTAAAAAATCCTAGAAGAAATCTTAGGAAAAACTCTTCTGGACATTAGCCTAGGCAAAGAATTTATGATGAAGACCTCAAAAGCAAACACAACAAAACCAAAAATAGACAAATGAGATTTAATTAGAAAAACTTCTGCACAGCAAAAGAAATAATCAACAGAGTTAATAGACAACCTACAGAATGGGAAAAATATATGTAAATTATACATCTGACAAAGAACTAATATCCAGAATCTACAAAGAACTCAAACAACTCAACAAGAAAAAAAATAACCCCACAAGCGGGCAAAGGACATGAAAAGATATTTCTCAAAAGAAGAAATATAAGCAACCTAAAATAATCTAAAATAATTTTTAAAGAGAAAAAATACTTGACAGAGTTTTGATAGTACTTAGTAAAAAGTTATATCTAGTGGTTGTTTGTTTTTGTTTTTTGTTTTTAAGAAATAGTCTCTGTTTCCCAAGCTGGAGTGCAGTGTCGCAATCTTGGCTCACTGCAACCTCAAACTCCTGGGCTCAAGCGATCCTCCAGCCTCAGCCTCCCGAGTAGCTGTTATAGGCATGCACCACCACTCCCGACTAATATATCTGCTTTCTATCAGTAACATAATTGTGTCCATTTGTACTTATTTAGGAAATAAACACTTTTACGCTTTTGATTTTTATGTTGTGAATGAAGTTTTTTTAGCTGTATAATTTTCATGAATTTGTCACCAACAGAGGACCTGTAATTTTTTTTAGGTTGGTATTATAACATTTATTAAAATAATGCTGTGGGTTAATAGAAACAGCAAAGAACCAAAGAATTAAAAGGCAAGCTATGTAAAATCCCAACTAAAATCCAAAAATGTCTAATGTATTCATTCGTTAGCTAGCTAAAAGTCCAAAAAAGATGACACCTAATATAATAAAGTACTGCAAAACAATTGGCAATTTTCAGTTATCAAAATTGTGGATTTTGCATTTTGTATCCTTTTCTCAATCAAGAAAAAAATTCTTTTTGAATGTTATATAACATACTTGTAAAACAAGATAGAAAAATACACTATAAACTTGTAACAATGGCTGTAAATATTTTATCTTACATGTTTCTCATAGGCAATAGGTTGGTTATGGTACGTACATAGCATGAAACTAAGATGACAAAAATACATGTCAGCTGTACGATAACATACAAGTGACACTCCCATCTACCCATGCTAAAAAATTATATAATACTGTCAAAAAGAAGTCTTAAAACTACACATTTTAATAAGAAATTCAATAAAGAATGATAATACTGAGAACTAAGGCATTCAGAGATTTCAAGTCATGCTTTTTTCAGTTGATTCAAAATTTTGTCAACCAAGTTTTCTTTCTTTTTTTTTTTTTTTTTTTTTTTTGAGACAGAGTCTCGCTCTGTGCCCCAGGCTGGAGTGCAATGGCGCAATCTCGGCTCACTGCAAGCTCCGCCTCCCGGGTTCACGCAATTCTCCTGCCTCAGCCTCCTGAGTAGCTGGGACTACAGGCGCCCGCCACCGCGCCCGGCTAATTTTTTGTATTTTTAATAGAGACAGGGTTTCACCGTGGTCTCGATCTCCTGACCTTGTGATCCGCCCGCCTCGGCCTCCCAAAGTGCTGGGATTACAGGCGTGAGCCACCGCGCCCGGCGTCAACCAAGTTTTCTAAAGTTTGTTCAGAGCCAACATTACCATGTCACACATTTATTATTTCATACATTTACTTTCTTTCCCATAAAAGACCTTTGATAAACATCTAAAATGTAGGACATTTCTTAAAGCTGATAAATCCCAAACTGCTTTAGTTTTAAGGATTCTTTCTTGAATAGACCAGTGTTATATGAATCCTGTTCATCAAATTGTAGAATTTCAACATTGGAAAAGATTTTTTAAATATCCATTCATGTAAATAACAACTGAAATTTATTAATAACAATCTCTCTACATTACTTTTTTCTGCAGCCAGAAAGCAAGGTTTTTCAGTTTTGTGCCTACAACTTTTTACCTCAGATTTGCCATTTCTTCCATGCATACTGGAATATCTTGCAGTTTATTGTTGCTGAGAACAAGAGTGCCCAGATTTTTCATATTGCGGATTGTTTCAGGCAAGCAGGTTATTTCATTTCGTTGCAGCCATAATGTATGTAGATTTTGCATTCTGAAAAATTAAGGTTTCTGCAATTAATTACGTATAATATGAAAACATTGGTTTTGGAGTTTTAAAAAATAATTTTAAGAGGCAGGGGTCTCATCATGTTGCCTAGGATGGCCTTGAACTCCTGAGCTCAGGCTACCCTTCCACCTCAGCCTCCTAAAGTGCCAGGATTACAGGCGTGAGCCACTGCACCCAGCCTTTGGTTCTTATGTAAAAATCAAATGTCTTTTACAACATATTTAACCAGTATACTTACTGAGTTAACTGACATCACATTACCTGGTTATTAGAGAAACTGCATCAGGAAGTTCATCTCTACAGTACAATTCTTACATCGTATGGCAATAGAAATGAAATCAAATCAACATATTCTAGAATTCTTTCACTATTCTCATAGGATTTCTTGAAGAAGAACTGCTGTAAATGTTACCTAATCTGAGTTAGAGTCTTAAGAGAACAATCAAATGATTAATATGCCCATTTATAGCAAAGCAGTATGGATAATGCTTAACATCATGGACTCTGGGTCCAGGCTGCCTAGGTTCAAATCCTAGCTTGCCCACTTACTAACTTGAGCAAGTTAGCTAACATCTCTGTCATTAGTTTCTTCATCCGCTTGTAAAGTGCATAGAAGTGCTTGGCATATACTAAGCAAGGTGGTTATTGTGGCATATTCTTGTTAATTTCTCAAAGTCAGCCAGTTTTGGCCAGGCGTGGTGGCTCATGCATGTAATCCCAGAACTTTGGAAGGCAGAGGCAGATGGATCACTTGAAAAAAGCCAGTTTTTTCTTCTTCCCAAACCCTTTTACTTGGAACAAATGAAAATATTCTGTTAAAACAGTGTATTTCAAACTAGTTGGACCTATTGTGATTGATTATGCTCGAGATCCCATTTGTCTTGCTTAGTTTTTTTCATAAGAGGTTTCAAGACATTTATCATTAGCATGAAGAGTTATTTCTTTTACCTTTCTATAGTATCAGGAAGTTGTTCAAGTTTGTTGCTTCCCATGTCTAGCCACTCAAGGGCAGGCATGTTCAACACAGCAAGAGGGATTGTAGTAAAATGGTTCATACTCAGATCAAGGTGAGTAAGTTTTAGCAGATTGCTGAGCTGAAGAAGAAAGCAAAGTTTTTCAAAATAAATGCCCACAATGTAAACTACTAAAAGACTCACGTCGGTAAAGGCAATATTTCACATCCAGGAATGTTCACATTTTACTTGGGCTTTATTTAGTCATAGTAGTCCACAACAAATTAAAAATAAATATAAAGCTAAATAACCTCCAGGGAAGTGTAAAACTCTCATAGAAAGTTCACCTATTCAAAGAAAATTTATCTTTCATAATCACCAGGTTCCAGGGTTTATAGAATGTGCCTGGCAAAACCTTTTTTTCGCTGAGAGTAAGCACCCATTATCATGTTTTCCTTTGATCCAGTAGTTGAGAATTGTATGGGAAAACTCAAAATTTAACTTCCAAATAATAGTGGTGGAGGAAAGGGGTAGCTCATGCCTATAATCCTAGCATTTTGGTAGGCAAATTGGTAGTTAGGAGGATCACTTCAGTCTAGGAGTTTGAAACGAACCTGGGCAACATAGTGAGACCCTGTCTCTACAAAATAATTTAAAAATTAGCCGGGGATTTTGGCACAAGCCTTTGGTCTCAGCTACTTAGGAGGCTGAAGTGGGACAATTGCTTGGGCCCAGGAGGTTGAGGCTGCAGTGAGCCAGAATCAACACCACTGTACTCCAACCTGGGTGAAAGAGTGAGACCCTGTCTCAAAAAAAAGACTGGTTAATAGACTGTACAAAATCACATAGCTTTTATAATGATGGAGCCAACCCAGAAACAAAAACACATGAGTCAGAAATAAAATATTTATTGACCCTCTTGTATGTGTAAGAAATTATCCATATTATCATTTTTATTGTATGCAAAGTGGTATAGTTTGGCTGTGTCCCCACCCAAATCTCATCTTGAATTGTAGCTCCCACAATTCCCATGTGTTGTGGGAGAGACCTGGTGGGAGACAATTGAATCATGGGGGTGGTTTCCCCCATACTGTTCTCATAGGAGTGAATAAGCCTCATGAGATCTGATAGTTTTATAAGGGGTTTCCCTTTGCACTTGGTTCTCATTCTCTCTTGCCACCATGTAAGACGTGCCTTTCGCCTTCTGCCATGATTGTGAGGTCTCCCCCAGCCACGTGAAACTGAGTCCATTAAACCTCTTTTTCTTTATTAATTACCCAGTCTTGAGTATGTCTTTATCAGCAGTGTGAGAACAGATTAATACACAAGGGTACACATTTCATTAAATTGAACTATTAGAAGATATAATGTATATGTAAATACTATGGGGTTTTTTTGTTTTTTTGTTTGTTTGTTTGTTTTTGAGACGGAGTCAAGCTCTGTCGCCCAGGCTGGAGTGCAGTGGCCGGATCTCAGCTCACTGCAAGCTCCGCCTCCCGGGTTTATGCCATTCTCCAGCCTCAGCCTCCCTAGTAGCTGGGACTACAGGCGCCCACCACCTCGCCTAGTTAGTTTTTTTGTATTTTTTTAGTAGAGACAAGGTTTCACCGTGTTAGCCAGGATGGTCTCCATCTCCTGACCTCGTGATCCGCCCGTCTCAGCCTCCCAAAGTGCTGGGATTACAGGCTTAGCCACCGTGCCCAGCCGTATATACTATGTTTTATTTGCAAGAGCAACAATTGTTAGTGACAAGTTTGCTGTTTTGGAAGAAAAGTCTGATATACTAATTAAGATAAAGTGGGAGAAGGGAATAGTCTATTTTATTTTATTATTTTTCTTAACTTTTATCTTGTAGAGTCATGTTTTCAAAACCAAAGCCCCATGGAAACTTCTTCACTGATTCTAAGAGCATTAAATATTTTCAAAAAGTAATACAAATGTCTTTATTTTTATATGATCAATTTGGTTTGACCAATAACAAGATATCATACCAAATCAAAGTTTGAAGGCATTCCAGTCCCATTGCTATCACCACATTGTCTGTGCTTTATGATAACCATTTATTAATTCAAAAAGCATTTAAGTAATCACTACAACCTAGGCTCTGCCCTCAATTCTGAGACTATAATACAACTCTCACCCTGGTGTTTAAGGAGATCACAGTTTAACAAATGATGTCAGTACTGTGATAATAATAGAAGTATCTTTTACACTAAATCTTTCTCCAATTAAAAACCTGCATTATACTTATGGAAATGGTTTTCCCTAAATATTTTTTCTGAAATACATAGAATTTTCTCATTGGTTTTATTATTGTTAACAACCACACATTGAGAGTTCAACTACTGCAGATGGAAAATACAGTCATAAGCATTTATATCTTTCTAACCTCTTGTGGAAGATCACATATATCTCTGTTAACAGCCAGTTCTAGTTTCTCCAAGCTGGCACAATTACTTAGTTCCTTGGGGACAGTCTTGATTTTGTTGTAGCTAAGAATCAGTTCCTGAAGTCTAGTAAGCAGTCCTATAAAAAAATAATATACAATAGAGAGGAGTTGGATATAAAATAATGTTTATAGTTATTAAGGTGTTACAGCATAACTTACTTGCCAGTTTTGTATTGGCAAATTTGGAGTTCTTAGTTTCTTCCCTTTTCCCAGTCTGTGTCCTGTCCCTTCTTCAAACAAGGGACAAATTTAAACATGCAATAGGAAAAAAAAAATCCCAAACTATTTTCATTTTGTTTCATCTACACAAAATCCTGAGAAATTTTCTATTCAGATTTTTTTTCCCATTTGAAGAATCTTGTTTTGTTTACTGCCTTCAACCTGTTGAAGGCTATTGAAGCTATTCCTAAGAGAAATAGCTGAGCTGACAATACTGTATGGAGAATCTACAGGATATTTCCAAAGAGGCTTTTCTCTCATTGTAATCCTATCTTGAATCACCTCAGTAAATCCAAAAACTTGAATCCTCTAGAAGCTTCAATTTAGACTAAATGTTTAAAATTTCTCAAGGTTGAGGGCTGTATAAAGAGGTCTTTATTCCATGTATCCAAAAAAAATCTTAATAAAAAGTACATCTGCAGGTGGATAAAATAGCACAGGAATAAAAATAATCTTTCTTACCAATCCCTGGAGGTATCTCTGAAATTGTATTTCGAGACAAATCTAACACAATGAGGTTCTGGAATCTTCCAATGAATTCAGGTATTTTCAGCAAACCAGTTCTATGAAGTTGCCATTCCTGTAGTTGATTCAGTTTCAGCAGAGAAGAAGGGAGGGTCTACAGTAAAAGAAATGATAGTTGTTGTATATTACTTAAGTTGTTTTAGTATCACACCACCCTGAAATGTGATATTTGACTTATATAAGCACTTTGGAATATTTGGAATTTGTTTTCCTTAATGGGTTACTTTTCCAAGTGCTTTGTGTGACTTCCAAGTTTTAAGATCTTTACCTTTTTTTTTTTTTTTTTTTTTTTTTGGCTAAACCTTCAAACCCCAATCATGATAGAATAAACAGAAATATTTTGATCAATAATGTAGATACATAGCAGTATGTCCTGATGATTCTGTTATACAGTATAAGGCTTTCCCTAAGTACATATATGTTATTGAAAATGAGAGTATCCAAAAAAATCATTTCAATCAATAATTCAAACTGCTTTTCCACTTCTGTTTTGAAATATATGAATATTTTAAAAGATTTATTTTTTAATTTGAGAATTTTAAGAGTTTCAACTATTCTGAACCCTGTACCTTTTCCCTTTCAGCCTAAAATAGCCAGTAGAGAATACAAAGGAGCTAACTCTGACAAACAGTGACATAAAACATAAAAATAAACACTGACCCAAGGGTTAGAAGCTCTTGTAAAAATTAGAGTATGGCTAGTATAATTAAACTGTGAGTTTGTGTGTAGGGGGGAGAAAGAATATGAGTTAGGTGGTAGACCCAATGAAAATACTAATATTTACATTCCGTAAAGTTTTAACTGAGTATTTCTTTGGAAAAGCAATATTATTTTTATTAGGCAGATGGTTATCTTTTTTATGGGAAATGAGAAGTTGCTATAAAACAGATTAATAGGAGAAATATTACAAGTGATTTAAGTTTAGGCAGGGTTGAAGCAAACTGAACTTTTGCAAAATAATTGTGAAGTTGTGTTTCTTTTCAGTTGCTCATGTTGCTCAAATTCATTTGGTGTATTATTAAAATTAGTTTCTAACTATTCTAGTCTCAATTACAGTCTCAGAATCATTCTCTCAACTGACTCACAAAATGCAAAATGTGGAAAATCAAATATTCTGTAAAAGCTTACCTTCCATTCCTCTTTTTCTATCTTCAAAATGACTCTTCCATCTTCCCTGGTGACCTTTTCTCTTAGCTTGGTTAAACTTACTCGTTCTTCCCAGATCCGCACTAGCCTAGGGGACCAGGAAATCATTTTAGTTCATAGACAATTACATAGGTGACATTCACTTTATATATATATACATATTTTTTTTTTTTTCTTTTTTTTGAGATGGAGTTTTGCTCTTTTGCCCAGGCTGGAGTACAGTGGCCTGATCTTGGCTCACTGCAACCTCCACCTTCCAGTTTCAAGTGATTCTCCTGCCTCAGCCTCTCCAGGATTACAGGCACCTGCTAATTTTTTTTATTTTTAGTAGAGATGGGTTTTCACCATGTTGGCCAGGCTGGTCTCAAACTCCTGACCTTGTGATCCACCAGCTTCAGCCTCCCAAAGTGTTGGGATTCCAGGTGTGGGCCACTGCACCCAGCCACTTTTATATATATATTTTTAAATGACCAATCAAAAACAACCATTTGACTATTGGTACCTGGAAATCAGACAAGATCTTATTTTGCAAGAATTATAAATATGATTAGTACCACAAATGCCCTATTTTTAATTTTTTTAAGTATCATAACTCTATAAATTTTATTAATAATAACTTTTTTGAGATCTGATACACATACCATAAAAATTACTTTTTTCAGTACACAATTCAGTAAATTTTGGTATATTCACAGTTTGTGCAACTATCATCACTATCTCATACCAAAGCATTTTATCACTCAAAAAGGAAACTCCATACCCATTAGCAGTCACTCTCCATTCTTCCCTCTCATACCTCTTGGTAATCACTAATCTACTTTTTGTATATGGATTTTCCTATCCTGGACACTTTATTTAAATGGGACCATACAATATGTATCTTTTGTGTCTGCTGCTTTCACTTAGCATCATTTCTCTCAAAGTTCATCCATGCTGTAGCATGTATTAGTACTTCATTCTTTTTTATGGCAGAATGATTCCACTGTATGGATCTAACACATTTTGTTTACCAATTCATCAACTGATGGACATTGGGTTAATTCCACTATTGGCTATTTGGAATAATGCTGCTATGAATATTGATGTGCAAATTTTTGTGTGCCCATGTTTTCAGTTTTCTTGGGTACATTCCTAGGAGTAGAATTGCTGAGTCATATGGTAACTTTATATTTAACATTTTTCTTTTTTTGAGACAAAATCTCGCTCTGTCATCCAGGCAGGAGTGCAGTGGCACCATCACGGCCCACTGTAGCATCAACCTCCCAGGCACAAGTGATCCTCCCACTTCAGCCTCCTGAGAAGCTGGAACTACAGGCATGCTCCACCATGCCCAGCTAATTTTTGTATTATTTGTGGAGGCAGGGTTTTGCCATGTTGCCCAGCCTGGTCTCAAACTCCTAAACTCAAGCAATCTGCCTGCCTTGGCCTCCCAAAGTACTGGGATTACAGGCATGAATGACAGCACCTGGCTATGTTTAACATTTTCAGAAACTGCCAAGCTGTTTCCAAAATGGCTGCACCATTTTACATTCCCATCAGTGGCATATTAAGGTTCTGATTTCTTCACATCCTCACCAATATTTGCTATTGTCCCTGTTTTTTATTATAGTCATCTAGTGGGTGTGAATGGTATCTGATTGGGGGTTGTTTGCATTTTCCTGGTGAGTAATCAATAGATATTTAATAGGTTTTGTAATGGCTTACAAAGAATACAGTTCAACTTCAGAATTCAATTTCATCTTACTACATGTTAATTTTATCTAGTCTTTATTTTTTACATATAAAAATGTATAAAATATTTGTCATTCTGAAGCACATTCCTATTGATTTTTTATCTACTGCAAACATAAGAATGATCTCAAACTAGAAAAATGCAAACTAGAAACTGGAAAACCGGCCAGGCACGGTGGCTCATGCCTGTAATCCCAGCACTTTGGGATGCTAAGGCGGGTGGATCACCTGAGGTCAGGAGTTCGAAACCAGTCTGGCCAACATAGTGAAACCCCATCTCTACTAAGAATACAAAAATTAGCCGGGTGTGGTGATGCATGCCCGGAGTCCCTGCTACTAGGGAGGATGAGGCAGGAGAATTGCTTGACCCTGGGATGCGATTGTTGCAGTGAGCCAAGATTGTGCCACTGCACTCCAGCCTGGGGGACAGAGTGAGACTCTGTCTCAAAAAAAAAAAAAAAAAAGAAAAGAAAAGAAATGAAAACCTTTTGCAAAAAGCTATTTCTATCCCAGAAAATTATTCACGCATGAAAAAGAGAGTAAGTTTAGAATCGAACATTTTGAAATTTTAGCCCGTTAAAAGGATACATATTAAATATAAGCAGTCCTCAAAACATGAAGTTTAACTAATTTGAATATTTGTTTGCCAGAAATCTATTGACACCCGAGAGTTAATACATATTTTTAGCAGTTTTGCATATTGACTGATCTTCAGTAAGGATTTTATTTTGATGAACAGAAAGCCAAAAGTAAACAAAATGTTGAATTTGCTGTCTTTACGTATTTGTAAAATACTTCGGGTTTGTAAAATACTTCTTTTAGTAGCTGTGTATTTTAATCTATCACTTGCCTAAAATTTAACTTATCTGCTAACAGGTGCCCTGTGGCAGTGGGATATGTGTGGGCTTCTGATCTAAACAACTAAGCTTCCCATAGATATGGATAACTAAAAAAAAATGTATAATGTCAGCTATTCAATTATATCACTTATATAAAAATAGAACTATTCAAACAATGGGCTTAATGGTTATTAATTAGTTATTACTAAGAAAGAAGTGAAATCAGAGCAAGATTTAGTAACAAGTAAATTAGGAATCTGATTCCTTGACCTTTAACTTAAGGAATTAATCAAGTAATCATTATAGCCAAGTACTAGACATTGGAGATAAAAAAGCTCTGTCCTTACTGAGTTGACAGTCAGGCTATTATTAGAAAAATCTATTTCCATCTCTGTAATGATCCCTAAATTCTTTCTGGTTCTGTATTTTTATGATCTAAGTCCAGAATGTACCATTTATTAATTTGGTTACCTTGGGCAAGACATCCCCCATCTGTGGGCTTACCTATAAAATGTGAGGTTATAATTAAATGATATCTGTGTATTTTCTAGCTCAAATATTCTATAATTCCTATGCAGTTTTTTCTAAAAAAAAAAAAAAAAAAATGAGACAGGCCATCACTATGTTGCCCAGTCTGCTCTTGAACAATCCTCCTGCTCAAGCAATCCTCCCGCCTCAGCCTCCCAAAGCACTGGGATTACAGGTGTGAAACTGCTTATTTTAATCTTGATATTCTTTCATGTCTCTAATTGAAATTTTATAACTCTTCTAAAACCCTTTTGAGGCAGCACGTGGTGGCTCACGCTTGTAATCCCAACACTTTGTGAGGCCAAAGCAGGTGGATCACTTGAGGTTAGGAGTTCGAGACCAGCCTGGCCAACGTGGTAAAACTGCATCTCCACTAAAAATACACAAATTAGATGGGCGTGGTGGTGTGCGCCTGTAATCCCAGCTACCTGGGAGGCTGAGGCAGGAGAATCACTTGAACCCAGGAAGCAGAGGTTGCAGTAAGCCAAGATTGTGCCACTACACGCCAGCCTAGGTGACAGGGTGAGACTCTGTCTCTAAAATAAAATAAAATAAAATAAAACCCTATTATTGTAGAATAAGGCCTTTTTCCAATATTGTCACACCAACTGTTACCTAAGTACTTGATTTTTTCAAGGAGCTTGGCATCAAAAGGGAGAAAGGACAATTTCTGTTTAAACTGTAGGTTTTTTTTTTCTTTCATTGTTTAGCTAAAGCTTTAGCCACTTTTAGCTGAAAGAAGCAGCATTAGATTACATTCTTACCCTTCTAACCCCTTGCCTGTGTACTGACCACTTTCAAATCTTCTGCTTCTTTTGTCTACTTCCTTGCTACTCAGTGTGATTTGCAGAACAGCAGCATTATTGTCTCCTGGGAGCTTGTTAGAAATCCAGACTCTTGGTCCTACTCCAGACTTACTAACCCAGAAGCTATTTTAATAAGATCCCTATGGGATTCCTACATAGACAAGTTTGAGAAACACTGCTCTATTTCAGAGCAGAGTAAAAAAGGAAGGACATTTCTTTGGGTTACCTTTGGTCAGTTTAAATTTTCTATGAATTTTCCAATTAGCCTTTTCTCTGGTAATCAGCTTCTCTGTCTCACTTTAAAAGGTCTCTCAGATTCTTACCATTTTGCATCAGTTATGGTTGTTTATTAATTTTTTCTTTTTTTTTTTTTTTTTATGAGACAGTGTCTCACGCCCAGGCTGGAGTGCAGTGGGTGTGATTGTGACTTACTGCAGCCTTGATCTCCAGGGCTCAGTCGATCCTCTCGCCTCACCCCTCTGCCTCCCAAGTAACGGGGACTACAGGTGCATGCCACCATGCCCAGCTAACTTTTTGTTTTAGAGATAAGGTCTTGCTATGTTGCCCAGTCTGGTCTCAAACTCCTTGGGCTCAAGAGATCCTCCTACCTCAGCCTGCCAAAGTGCTCGGATTACAGGCACAAGCCACCATATCTGGCAAATTATTTATTTAGTCATATTACAGGTTTTAAACCTAACCTTTGATCTCTATATAATTTACTTTTGAAGTAGTTTATACTTAATTTTAACCATAATCCAAGCTTTATAATACTGTACAATGATTTTACAATGAAATTGTTTTAAGATTAAGGGAAAGGTGCTTTGAAAAACATTACACAAATTCCATGCAATGTTTCTAAAAGTAGAAGCTGATTTTCATCTACTTTCAGAGATTACATTTTGCTAAGAGAGAATCCTCCTTCCTAGTCATAAAATAGATGATGCCAAAAAAAGAACAAGCAGTAAGGCAGTAAGGGTGGGCAAGACTGCACACTCATTATTCTTATATAGAGAACTTCTGACATTTCTGAATTAAGTGATTCTTAATTAATGACAAAGATCCCTTTTATCAAAACTTTAGTCAGGCTCCTCATCCTCTTCTTGACCAGGCTTGACCTTGGGCTTCCCTCTCTATCCTTGTAGAATCCACCTTGAACACGAATCTTGCTATATCTGCACACTTACTAAAAACTAAGTGGGAAAAATTATTCCTCCCTGTCCAGATCTTTTGCTTTTACAGATATTTAGCAACACAAGTCATTGCTTATCAGTAGCTTCTTGTCCCCCACCCTTGTTTACTGGAAGAATACCAATTGATTCCAAGTCCAGGTGTTTACAAAGTAATCCAGGTGATATGGTTTGGCTGTGTCCCCACCCAAATCTCATCTTGAATTGTGGCTTCCATAATTCCCACGTGTTGTGGGAGGGTCCCAGTGGGAGATAATTGAATCATGGGGGCAGTTTCCCTTATACTGTTCTCATGGTAATGAGTAAGTTTCCCAAGATCTGATGGTTTTATAAGAGGTTTCTCTCCCTCCCTCCCTCCCTCCCTCTCTCTCTCTCTCTTTCTCTCTTTCTCTCTTTCTCTCTTTCTTTCTTTCTTTCTTTCTTTCTTTCTTTCTTTCTTTCTTTCTCTTTCTTTCTTTCTTTCTTTCTTTTCTTTCTTTCTCTCTTTCTCTCTCTCTCTCTCTTTCTTTCTCTTTCTCTCTTTCTTTCTTTTCTTTCTCTCTTTCTCTCTCTCTCTTTCTCTCTTTCTCTCTTTCTCTCTTTCTCTCTTTCTTTCTTTCTTTCTTTCTTTCTTCTCTCTCTCTCTCTTTCTCTCTTTTTTTTTTTTTGAGACTGAGTCTTGCTCTGTCACCCAGGCTGGAGTGCAGTGGCGAGATCTTGGCTCACTGCAAGCTCTGCCTCCTGGGTTCAGGCCATTCTCCTGCCTCAGCCTCCCGGGTAGCTGGGACTACACACGCCCGCCAGGATGCCCGGCTAATTTTTTTTGTATTTTTAGTAGAGTCGGGGTTTCACCGTGTTAGCCAGGAAGGTCTCAATCTCCTGACCTCGTGATCTGCCCACCTTGGCCTCCCAAAGTGCTGGGATTACAGGTGTGAGCCACCACGCCCGGCCGTCTCTCTTTCTTTCTTTCTTTCTTTCTTTTGATGGACTTTCACTCTTGTTGCCCAGCCTGGAGTGCAATGGTGCAGTCTTGGCTCACTGCAACCTCTGCCTCCCGGGTTCAATCAATTCTCCTGCCTCAGGGTCCCAACTAGCTGGAATTACAGGCACACACCACCACTCATGGCTAATTTTTTTGTATTTAGTAGAGACGGGGTTTTACCATATTGGTCAGACTGGTCTAAAACTCCTGACCTCAGGTGATCCACCCACGTCAGCCCCACAAAGTGCTGGGATTACAGGTATGAGTCACCATGCCTGGCTGAGGATTCCCCTTTCGTTTGGTTCTCATTCTCTCTTTGCCGACTGCCATGTAAGATGTCCCTTTGCTCTTCCTATGTCTTCCACGATTGTGAGGCCTCCCCAGCCATGTGGAACTATGAGTCAATTAAACCTCTTTACTTTATAAATTACCCAGTCTCAGGTATGTCTTTATCAGTAGTGTGAAAATGGACTAAAATAGTAAATTGGTACCAGTAGAGTGGGGCACTGCTGTAAAGATACCCAAAAATGTGGAAGTGCTTTGGAACTGGGTAACAGGCAGAGGTTGGAACAGCTGGATGGCTCAGAAGAAGAAAGGAAAATGTGGGAAAGTTTGGAACTTCCTAGAGACTTGTTCAATGGCTTTGACCAAAATGCTGATAATGATTTGGACAATGAAATCCAGGCTGAGGTGATCGCAGATGGAGATGAGGAACTTGTTGGGAACTGGAATAAAGGTGACTCTTGCTATGTTTTAGCAAAGAGAATGGCAGCATTTTGCCCCTGCCCTAGAAATCTGTGGAACTTTGAACTTAAAGAAGTTCCACTATCTGGTGGAAGACATTTCTAAACAGCAAGCATTCAAGAGGTGACTTGGGTGCTGTTAAAAGCATTCTGTTTTAAAACGGAAACAGAGCATAAAAGTTCAGAAAATTTGCAGCCTGAGGATGTGATAGAAAAAGAAAAAAACATTTTCTGAGGAGAAATTCAAGCTGGCTGCAGAAATTCGCATAAGTAATGAGGAGCCTAATGTTAATTGCCAAGACAATGGTCTTATAAGAGGTTTACCCTTTCACTTGGTTCTCATTCTCTCTTGCCAGCTGCCATGTAAGATGTCCCTTTGCTCTTCCTTCATCTTCCACCATGATTGTGAGGCCTCCCCAGCCTTGTGGAACTATGAGTCAGTTAAGCCTCTTTCCTTTATAAATTACCCAGTCTCAGGTATGTCTTTATCAGCAGCATGAAAATGGACTAATACACTAGGGATGAATCTTAATTTGTCTAAACCAATCAGTGTCATTCCCCTAGAAGGTAACTGGGTTAGATGTGTACAACTGATCCAATTCTGGCCAATGAGAGGTGAAGGAGAGGTTTGTTGGGAACCCTCTGTGAAAGATTTCCTTACTCTTAAAGAAGAAATAGAAAAAAATAGTTTCTACTTTTCTGAAAACTATCCTGTAACATTGAAGGAAGCTAATCTGAGGATCAAACTGACACAGGGATTAACAGTGGAAGGTGAAAAAAAAAAGTTGACTTTTAAAAGATGTTGAGGCTTTGCATTGACTATCTTCAGAACAGCCTCACTTCCCTATCACTTAAGCCATCTTTAGTTGAATTTTCTGTTATTTGCTAACTGATATTGGCAAATAACATTTGCCTCATGGCTGGGCATGGTGGCCCAATGCCTGTAATCCCAGCATTTTGGGAGGCTGAGGTGGGTGGATCCCCTGAGGTCAGGAGTTCAAGACCAGCCTGGCCAACATGGTGAAACCCCATCTCAACTAAGAATACAAAAATTAGCCGGGTGTGGTGGCATGTGCCTGTAATCCCAGCTACTTGGGAGGCTGAGGCAGAGAGAATCACTTGAATCTGGGACGTGGAGGTTGCAGTGAGCTGAGATCATTCCATTGCACTCCAGCCTGGGCAACATAGTGAGACTCCATTTCAAAAATAATAATGATAATAATAGAAAGAGACAATGAATGAGAATTGTACGGAACTATATGAATCTATAAGGAAAGGGACTATTTTTGCAGGATTAGTATAATACTTTTGGGAGACATCCAATCAGGAAAGTAGGTAAGATAAAATGAAGGCAGAGGAAATGAGAGTCAAATAAATATAGCCCAGATCAAGGAATCAAGTGATCGAGCAGCTCTGGCTAGAACACATGACTATTCAAATAAATGAGAATCTCCTGTACCTTCTACTGCCAAATGTTGTTTTAGATCCTAGGGCATGTTAATGCTGAACATACAATCCTGAAAATTACACTTTATGATACTAGTCAAACTTTGATGAATGTTAAACAGAGTACTATGAGGGTATAAGATAGCTACTATTTTCACATTTGTATTTTTTGTGACTCCTATCACACAGACAAATTTAATTGAGTCAGCTGTTTTCTTTAAGTATATTTTGAGTTTTCAGTAAATGAAATTCTATATCAAATTCAATAATAAGGCATTTAGAATGCTCTTCTTTATGGTGATGATAATGTTAATTTCACTAATTCAAAATAATAAATATGTTTTAGCATACTTGTGTTGAAATTCCTTCTCTCGCTTCAGGTCTTCATTGTGTTTCTTTATTCTTTTTTCCCAAACTTCCTTTACAGCATTGACAGCCCCAGTACAAACCACATTTTCTGTCATGATTTCTCCACATTGTCATAGAGTCACCACCTTCATTAGGTTTTGAAAAGCTGATTCACAGATACCATTTCAGAAAGGACCTAATTGTATCAGAGAAAAAAGCAATGTTTCAGACTGTTCATTGAGTACCATAATGATCATAACAGCTAATATTTATAGAGCACATTCCATGCTCCAAAAACTATTTTATATACTTTACATGCCATATCATACTTAAAAAGTCTCATAAAATACTGTAATATAGGTACTTTTATTGACTAATACATAGATGAGAAAATTAAGCTTTAAAGAAGATGAACAATTTTCTTGGGGTCTCATATCTAATATATGATTCCTTTGTTACTATATAGTTCACAATAATGAAAAACTGCGACTAGTCTTCATGTCCAAATATAGGGAAAATGGCTAAATAATGGAGATTTTTAAAAAGACTGGGATCTTGAGACATCAATCTAATCAGGACACCATGTGCACAAGTGGAAATTCAGTTAAATGATAACATATAGGGATTGTTTCCTTTTGTGTAAAATAAATTGCAAATGGACAGATGCAGTATTAAGGATTTTGACCTGAATCTCAGAAATGAGAGGAAAATACTCAATAATAGGAGAATGGTTATGTAAATTATGGTAGGTACATTTTTATGGAATATCCTATGGCCTTAAAATAATCGTATTGATTTTTTACCAAATTAGCAATAATCAAAGAATTTGATTCACAATTATTTGAATTATTTCCTTTCAAATTCAGGAATACAAAGACGTCCACAATCACTTCTATTCAATGTTGTAGGAAAACCATAATGGAAGTAAAGTAAATAGAAAGTAATGTAGTTGGAAAAGAAAGCAATAAAATTTGCAACAACATAGGGAAACAGACACTTATCTGCATCAGGGGTGATATTATTATATTCTGCATGGAGAGAAACTTGGTAATATTTGTCAAACTCACAAATGCTCATCCACACTTCTAGCAATTTATCTGAAGTTATTCGCAGTGTTTTTCATAACAGCAAAATATTGGAAACAATCTAACATTTCATCAGTAAACTATAGTCTACCCGTATCATGGGAAATTATATAGCTCAAAAAAAGGAAAAGTATCTTATATATTCATATGCCATGATCTCCAAAATATATAGCTATCCCACAGTTTATCCATTCTAATGAATGTGAATATTTGGGTCCCAGAGCTTTGCTATTATAAGCAATGCTTTTTCTAAAATTATTGTTTTTATCTTCTTGGTGTTCAAGTGGAATTATTTCTATTGGGTACATATCTAGAATTAGAATTGCTGGATCATAGTGTATGTAAATGTTCCAATTTATAAGACAGAGCCAAATTGTTTTCCAAATTGATTGTGCCCATTTATACTCTTACTACCACTGTATAAGGGTCACCACTGATATACATCCACTGCTGCATAAAGCAATATCCCAGGGTGGTCATAATCTGTACTTCCCTGATGATTAAGTCTTCCAAGTTAATATACAAAGGTTGTCCAGTTAAAGAAAAGACAAAATCCTGAGTATTGTTTATGAGAGGCACACCTAAAAAAATAGAGATAGAGAAAAGTGGACAGTACAAGAACAGGAAAAGATCCACTCCTAGGTGTATACCCACAAGAAATGAAAACATACGTTCTCACAAAATCTTTTATATGAATGTTGATGGAAACAGTATTCATAATAGGTAAAAAGTGGTAACAACACAAATGGCCATCTACTGATAAATGGATAAACAAGATGTGGTATATCCATACAATGGAATGTTATTTAGCCATAAAAATTAATGAAGTATAGATATATGCCACAGCATAAATAAACTTTTAATAAAATTATGCTAAGTGAAAGAAGTGAGGCACAAAAGACCACATATATGATCTCATTTATATGAAATGTCCAGAATAGGCAAATCTATAGATTCAAAAAGTAGCTTTACGGTACCCAGGAGATTTGTAGAGGGGGAAATAGGGAGTGACTGCTAACTGTACAGTTTTTTGGGTGATGAAAATATTCTAGAATTAGTGGTGATGATTGTACAACTCTTCAATAAAACTACCAAGCTGTACACTGAAAGAGAGAATTTATATATGAATTATATTTCAATTAACTTTTTCTTTTTTTATATCTTCATTTCTTTCCTTTCTTCCTTCCTCCTTCCCTCCCTCTGTCCTTTTCTTCTTTCCTTCTTTGCTCTTTTGAGACAGCGTCTCACTCTATCACCCAGGCTTGAATACATTGGCGGGATATGACTCACTGCAGCCTTGATCCCTGGGCTTAAGTGATCCTCCTGCCTCAGCCTCTCAGGTAGCTAGAAGCATAGGCATGTGCCACCATGTCTGGCTAATCAGTTACATTTTTTCAGATATACTATGCAAACACTAAGCAGAAGAAGGCTATATCAATATATTAATAGCAGACAAAATGGACTTTAGGCACAAATACTTTATAGATATAAAAGATCAATCATAGCATAATAAAAGATTCAATCCACAAGAAATATAAAACAACTTTAAATTATATGCCTCTAATAACATGGCTTCCAAATACAAAGGAAAATTGACAGAACTAAAGGGAAAAATCAAGGAATCCAGAATTGAAGTGGGAGATTTTAACCATTCTTTCAGCAATTGATTGCACGAGCAGTTTAAAACTTAGGAAGAATACTGAAGATGTGAACCACACAATGAATAAACTTACTTAAATGATAAATAAAGAACTATATCCTACAATGACAGAATACATTATGCTTTAAAAAATACATGGAAGAGTCACAGAAAAAAAATCTCATATTGGAGTCATACAGCAAGTCTCAGTCAATTTCAAGGGATTAAAGTAGCATAAAGTTTTTTTTCTAATCAAAATATAAACTTGCTAGAAATCAATAATGAAAAGATACCTGGGAAAAAAAAGCCTATATTATTTCAGCTAAAGAAACATGCTTTTTAAAATTTCTTTCCTTTTTTTTTTTTTTTTTGAGACATGGTCTTGTTCTGTTGCATAGGCTGGAGTGCAGGGGTGCAATCTCAGCTCACTGCAGCTTCAAACTCCAGGACTTAAGTAGTCCTCCTGTGTCAGCCTTCCAAGTAGCTGGGACTACAGATGTGTGCAACCATGCCCCAGCTGTTTTTTTTTTTTTAATTTTATTTTTTGTAAAGACAGGGGTCTTGCTATGTTGCCCAGGCTGGTCTCAGACTCCTGGGCTCAAATGATCCTCCCACCTCAGCCTCCCAAAGTGCTGGGATTACAGGCGTGAGCTACTGCATCCATACACGAAACACACTTCTAAATAACCTATAGTCAAAGAAGCTATCATCATGAAATTAGAAGGCATTTTGAACTGAATTAACAAAAATACCACAAATCAAAATGTTTGCAATACAGGTAATGTAGTAGAGGGAAATTTCTAGCCTTAAGTATACATTTTAGAAGAAATTAGGCTAAAAAATTTACATCCATCTCAAGAAGCCAGATAATGCAAAACAAACACAAAGAAAACAGAAGAAAGGGAATATTATAGATAAGCACATACATGTATAAAATTTTAAAATGACACAATAGAATATAACAACAATAATCTAAAATCTCTCCACAAACAAAATGCTGGTCCTAGAGATGCCTTCAATGGCAAATTCTACCAAGCATTTGAGGGGTAAAAATAACACTAATCATAGCATGAACTCTTCCTGAGAACAGAAAAGAAATACTCCCCAATTCAGATTATGAGATTAGCATACCCTTGATACCAAACCCTAAGAATGGTAATTCTAGAAAGAAAAATACAGGCTAATCTCACTAGCAAATATATTATGGAGAAAAGTCCTAAACCATATACTGGCAAACCATATCTGGCAATGTAGGAAAAAGAAAATACTGGCCAGGCGCAGTGGCTCACGCATGTAATTCCAGCACTTTGGGAGGCCAAGGTGGGCAGATCACTTGAGGTCAGGCATTCAAGACCAGCCTGGACAACATGGTGAAACCCTGTCTCTACTAAAAAAAAAATACAACAAAGGCCAGGTGTAGTGGCTCATGCCTGTAATCCTAGCACTTTGAGAGGCCAAGGCAGGCAGATTGCATGAACTCAGGAGTTCGAGACCAGCATAGGCAACACAGTGAAACCCCGTCTCTACTAAAATACAAAAAAATTAGGAGGTTGCAGCCAGCCAAGATCATGCCACTGCACTCCAGCCTGGGTGATGCAGCGAGAATCTGTCTCCAAAAAAAAAAGAAAAGAAAAGAAAAAATACAAAAATTAGCCAGGTGTGGTGGCATGCACCTGTAATCCCAGCTACTTGGGAGGCTGAAGTGGGAGAATCGCTTGAACCCAAGAGGCAGAGGTTGCAGTAAGCTGAGATGGCAGCACTGCGCTCCCACCTGGGCAACAGAGCCAGACTCTGTCTCAAAACAAACAAACAAAAAAAGAAGACACATTATAGCCATGTTGGGTTTATTCCAGAGATTAAGGTTTGTTTGCTTACCTTTGTTTGAGAAATCAATTAATGTAATATTCTGAAGTAATAGACTAGAAGAGAAAAAAATATGATTATTCCAATAGATGTAGAAAATTATTAAAATTTAATATCATGTGATTAAAAACAAATCTTTTTTTTTTTTTTTTTTTTGAGGCGGAGTCTTGCTCTGTCGCCAAGGCTGGAGTGCAGTGGCACTATCTCGGCTCACTGCAAGCTCCGCCTCCTGGGTTCACGCCATTCTCCTGCCTCAGCCTCCCAAGTAGCTGGGACTACAGGCGCCTGCCACCACGCCCGGCTAATTTTTTTGTATTTTTAGTAGAGATGGGGTTTCACCGTGTTAGCCAGGATGGTCTCAACAAGTCTTAACATACTATAAGTAGAAGATAATTTCTTTAACCTAACCAAGTATATCTAACAAAAATCTGCAGCAATCATACTTGATAGTGTAACATTGAAAGCCCTTCATTTAAAATTAGAAAAAGATGTCTGCTGTCACTACTTCCATTCAATACTGTATGATGGCTCTACCCTTTGCATAAAAGCAAGAAAAAGAAATAAAAGGCTTAAAATTTGAAAAGGAATAAAAAACAAAAGGACATTTTTCATGAGTACAATTATGAACTAGAAAATCCAAGAGAATCTACAACTAAATATATAGAATTTAGCAAGATTTCTGGCAAGTCAATATTTTGAAAAATCAAGTATGTGTCCTATATTCCAGCAGAAAATTGATATTAAATTCTTAAAATATACTGTTTTTTGTTTTTGTTTTTTTTGAGATGGAGTCTCGCTCTGTCACCCAGGCTGGAGCGCAGTGGCACAATCTCAGCTTACTGCAAGTTCTGCCTCCTGGTTTCATGCCATTCTCCTACCTCAGCCTCCTGAGTAGCTGGGACTACAGGTGCCCACCACCATGCCTGGCTAATTTTTTTGTATTTTTTTAGTAGAGACAGGATTTCACCATGTTAGCCAGGCTGGTCTCAATCTCCTGACCTCGTGATCCACCCTCTTCAGCCTCCCAAAGTGCTGAGATTACAGGCGTGAGCCACTGCACCTGGCCAAAAATATACTATTTTCAATAGCATAAAAATCAAATTCTTAACAATAAACAGGATGTGTAAAACCTCCACACAGAAAACTAAAAATTGGAGTGAAATTAAAGAAGACCTAAATAAATGAAGAGATATACATCATATTCATTGATTGAAAGACTCAATCTGTAAAAATGTCAATTTTCCCCACATTGAACTATAATCAGTCTCAATACAAATTTCATTTGGAGAAGGAGAGGAGCAACTTGACAATCAGTTTCTAATTTTTAATGACAGTTGTTAAGATACAAAATAGCCCAGACAGGCTTGCCAAAGAAAACTGGAGTGGGAGGATTTATTCTACATTCATCAAGATCTCTTTTAAAGCTATAGTACTAGATAATGTTATTGGTGGAACAGACAAACATATCAGTGTACCTGAATAAGGAACCCCAGAAACAGACTCATATACACATAGGCACTGCAGAACATTGTGTATTGGGAGAACCTGCCCCCAATATTTCAATGTAGGTTTTTTCTATTTTCCCTAAGTGTCAGCCAGTCTGAGAAATAAAGAGAAAGAGTACAAAGACAGGAATTTTACAGCTGGGCCGCCGGGGGTGACATCACATATCGGTAGGTCTGTGATACCCACCTGAGCTGCAAAACCAGCAGGTTTTTATTAAGGACTTCAAAAGGGGAGGGGATGTACGAACAGTGAGTAGGTCACAAAGATCACATGCTTCTGAGGCTAATAAAGATCACAAGGCACAGGGCAAAGCAAAGATCACAAGGCAAAGGGCAAAATCAAAAACTCCTGATAAGGGTCTATATTCAGCTGTGCATGTATTGTCTTGATAAACATCTTAAACAACAGAAAACAGGGTTTGAGAGCAGATAACTGGTCTGACCTCAAATTCACCAGGGTGGGGTTTTTCCCCACCCTAATGAGCCTGAGGGTACTGCGGGAGACGAGGGTGTATTTCAGTCCTTATCTCAACTGCATAAGACAGACACTCCCAGAGTGGCCGTTTATAGACCTCCCCACAGGAATGCATTCTTTTTTAGGGTCTTAATACTATATTCCTTACTAGGAACAGAATTTAGTGATATCTCTACTACTTGCACGTCCATTTATAGGCTCTCTGCAAGAAGAAAAATATGGCTCTATTCTTCCCGTCCCTCAGGCAGTCAGACCATATGGTTGTCTTCCCTCATTCCCTGAGAAATCACTGTTATTCTGTCCCTTTTCAAGGTGCACTGGTTTCATATTGTTCAAACACACATTTTAC